AAAAACAAACAAACAAAAACAAAGCATAAATACAGGACAGAAATAGACTCACAGAGAGAGAATACAGACTTGTGGTTACCAGGGGGGTGGAGGGTGGGAAGGGATAGACTGGGATTTCAAAATTGTAGAATAGATAAACAAGGTTACAGTGTATAGCACAGGGAAATATACACAAAATGTTAGATAACTCACAGAAAAAAAATGTGACAATGAGTGTGTATATGTCCAGGAATGACTGAAAAATTGTGCTGAACACTGGAATTTGACACAACATTGTAAAATGATTATAAATCAATAAAAAATGTAAAAAAAAAAGGTGGGAAGGTAGTGTAGTGTAGTTTTTCTCCAATTTTCTCAGTTTTCATCTAATTTAAATATAAAAATAACTTTAGGAGAAAAACATTGTATTTCTACCTGTTACCCCAAATATTTTCTAGATTTGAAAACATTATCTAGTAGACTTTGATCTCTGAGAGTGAAGAAACTTTTAAATTTATCTGTTTATTAATTAGTCAATAAATAATAATACAAGTGTTTTGAATGGAAAAAAAAAACAAAAGCAAAGGCACCAAAACCCTAAATAAACAATTGGGACTGCATATATCAAACTAAAAAGCTTCATGTGGCAAAGGAAATCAACAACAAATCAGGAAGGCAACCCACCAAATGAAAGAAAATGTTTGCAAATCATGTATCTGATAAGGGAGTTAATATTCAAAATATATAAAGAACTCATACAGCTCAATAGCCGAAAAAAAAAAACCAGTTAAAAAGTGGGCAGAGAATCTGAATAGACATTATTCCAAAGAAGATGTACAGATGCCCAACAGATACACAAATGGGAGTCTGATATCACTAACCATCAGGGAAAAACAAATCAAAACCACAGGGAGATACCAACTCATACTTGTCAAAATGGCTATTATCAAAAAGTAAAAAAAAATAACAAGTGTTGTTGAGAATATAGAGAAAATGGAACCCTTATGCACTGTTGGGAATGTAAATTGCTGCAGCCACTATGGGAAAACAGCATGGAAGTTCCTCAAAAAATTTAAAATGGAACTACTATATGATCCAGCAGTTCCATTCCTGGGTATTTATCCAAGGAAAATGAAATTCTTAACTCTAAACAATACATGCACCCCCATGTTTACTGTAGCATTATTTACAATAGCCAAAACACAGAAACAACCTAAGTGTCCACTGATGGTTGAATAGATAAAGAAAATGTGGTTATATACATATATAGTGGAACATTATTTAGCCATAAGAAAGAAGGAAATCTCGCCATTTGGGACAACATGAATGGACCTTGAGGGCATTATGGTAAGTGAAATAAATTAGACAGAGAAAAACCAATACTTTATGTTATCACTTATATATAGAATCTAAAAACAAAAACTTGAACTCATAGATATAGACAACAGATCGGTGGTTTCCAGAGGTGGGGGTTGGGGAGTGGTTGAAAGGGATGCAGGTCAAAGGTATGAACTTCCAGTTATAAGTCAGTCAGTCATGTACAACATGGTGACTACAGTTAATAATACTGTATTGTATATTGGAAAGCCACTGAGAGTATATCTTAAAAGTTTTCATCACAAGAAAAAAACCTGTACATATGCGATGACAGATGTTAACTAGAGTTACTATGGTGATCATTTCATATATGTACCATGAACCTTTTTCTTTTAAAAAAAAAAGCATGTGGACACGGATCATTAGGTGGGTTGAGACACCAGCAGGAAGCCTTGGGCAGGCTCACTGCTCAGCCCCCTCCCCTTGGGAGCTGCCTTCTCACTATGGGGAGCCCAGGTATTTTTCGTCCAGCATCCCCCTGTTTACTGCCTTGCCTGACCAGGCCTCCTCCTGATCCCACACCACCCTCCAAGTCTCTGACATGTTACGCTAAAATGGCTTACACCCTGAAACCCTTCATATCCTTGAGAGACACTGTCCCTTCTTTATAAATCTTCATCTAAGTCAAATGCCATATTTTGTAGGTTTCAAAAAATAGATGATTGGTGGTATGTATATTACCAAAACATGGTCTATTTTTGAAAACCTACACATACACATACACACAGTGGAATACTACTCAGCCATAAAAAAGAATGAAAATTTGCCATTCGCAACATGGACTTGGAAGGTATTATACTTAGTGAAAAAAGACAGAGAAAGACAAATACTGTACGGTATCACTTATATGAGGAATCTAAAAAATGAATCAAATGAACAAGGAAGAAACAGACTCACAAACTAGTTGTTACCAGTGGGGAGAGGGAAGGTGGGAGAAGTAAGATGGTGTAGGGGATTAACAGGTACAAACTACTGTGTATAAAATAAATAAGCTACAAGGATACAGTGTACAACTCAGGGAATACAGCCAATATTTTATACTAACTATAAATGTAACATAACCTTTAAAAACTGCAAATCACTATGCTGTACACCTGAAACTTACATATACATCAACCATATTTCAAAAAAATGAATATAAACAAAAAGATTCTTATTTAAAAATAGACTATTGGCAACAATGCTTGTTGAATACTTTTTAGCCAACAAACCTTAAAGCACGAAGTGAAAATACACATAATCCAGTACTAAAGCATAAATCAAACAGAAAAAATACGAATACCATTGTTGTCCTCTACGATCAAACTAAAAAAGTTCTTAAATACAGCAAGGGATTAACATTCTGTTACTTCAGAAGACAACACTCAAATGCACTGTTCTGCATGATGTAATGGTTTAAAAACAACCACAGTACTAACAGAAATGATTTTTGGTTTTGATACGAATTTATAGGAGAGAAGTGCCCAAATGCATACATACTTTTAAGAAATTAAGATAGACTATTAGAACAGTTTTTTATTTGGAGGAAGACTTTCATGCTGTCATAAGATGTAATGGTCCTGAGTTGCCCAGCCGCAAGCCAAATCCTAACTAATGTGCAGTATTAATAAAGCAGAGCAGGCTTGCAGGGGATCTCTGCTCTTACTATTTGTCTAAGGAGACTAATTTTGCCATAAAGCTTCTTAATTGGCAACTACGGTAAGACATGGAGAAAGCAGCAGAGAGCAGTAGTGAGAACGCAACGCGCAGTCAAGCCGACAAAACAAACGAAGCAAAGGGAACACGGTACCTGCTTATTACTGTCGGTGGTACAACACAGTTTCTTGAGGGAGACAAAATGCCTAATTTTCCTAATAACATAAACAATTGGTTATTAGTGAGTCAGAAATGAGATGATTCAACAAATTAGCGACTGAAAACATTAACAGAATCTTTCGGTAAAACTCCAGGGTCCAATCGAGGGCAGATTTAAAATTCCAACAAAACCCAACCTAAAAAAACTGCATTTTTCACACACAGCCCATGCATGCCTTCAGAAACCGGGCTTCCCTCTTAATCAGAGCCAGCTCAGAATCACTGTCCTAATGGGCACTTCATTTCCTCCCCGACTCCCAAAGCCTGGCTCCTTGGCAGTGTCAGTGATGGGATGAAATGTTACTCCAGATAAAATGGGTTTTAACTCTGCTGACACTAATACTCTGATGGATTATATAGAGGCAAAAGGCAAAATACTCATTTGGGCAAGGACCAAAGTTTATGGTTGCTGTTTCTGTATTTAATATTCCATATTCATTCATCGCCTGGTCATCATAATGATGGTGCTTTTTAGGCAGAGAAAACCCCTCTTATTTTAAGGTCATGGACAGACTCCCAAAACAGCCTGTGGTCTTCCTGCTCATTATCACAAGGAGACCGCGAAAGACTGCAGGAGCTGACTATGGAATATTACAGTAACGTGCAAGGAACTCAGGTAGTCCTAAGAGTCAGGCAGGGCTCTCCTCTTCTGGTTATGGGCACCAGTTTGAAGCTGGTGTTGACCTTTGGCTCATTCACAAAGGCTCCTCAGTGAGGTACTGTTAAGGAATCCTGTTTGGCACCAGGAGCCTTCTCACAAAATTTAACTGGAAGAAGGAAAAAGAATTGCATATTTTACTTATGTCTGCACATGAACAGGCAATCTGGGATCAAGTGGGGTCGGATCGCCTCAGCTCCGGGCAGACACCTCTCTCCCCACAACTGTGACCTCCGGGGCTCTCTTCCTTGTGGACCAAGCCTGGGTGCCCGGAGACAACCAGCACAGAGCCAGGGCCTCCTGAGAGAAGGTCGGCTCCCAGGACAGGGCCGAGGCCAGGAAGCCCCCTGTTTTGTGGTTGTCGCTATGCAGGGGGAAGGCCTAGAAACTGAGCTCCTTCAGGAGTGCGGACGAGGGAGCCACAGACAACCAGAGGAAGGTAGACAGTTGAGGTGATGCTTCCTAAGGCCCATAAGTGGGAGAAGAGGGGGCGCTGCTGTCTGAGGGGTGCTGCCGGCCGCATGGAGGTATCCCTGCCTGCACTATGTACGGACCTAATCCTACTGTATGTGTGGGTCTAACACACTTGCATTTCCATACACAAACCCAGCGCCCACATGGGCCCCTCAACTGGTAGAGTTTAAGAGTTGGCTCTCACCCTCCTTGGCCAATCACTGGAGTGATCTTCACATGCTGTTGGATGCTGTCCCCCGATTTCCGTCTGGCATAGTAAACCCCCTGCCACTCCTACACAGACAAAGAGAGCTCTTCAAGTCCTTCTGTGCAGGCTTAGAGCTGCTCCTACAGAGGGTCTCATCCAGTTCAGCAATAAAGTTCCCACAGGCTTTGTTACATTCCACACAACACTGTTCTCTAGCTGCACCCACTGTGACGCTGATGGCAGGAGGCTCACGGTCACAAGGCATAAAGACCACAAGACCACAAGTCCAGCGCCAGGCCGCCACCCCTGGGTTCCAGGACACGTGAGCAGTGGGTGAAGTTCCCGCCCTCAGCCCTATGGGCGTAGCGGCACCAGGTCCAGTTGCCTCCTTTGAGGTCTTTCTTGAGATCTTTACGACAACCTGTGAGCTTGTTATTGTCACCTTAATTTACAGATGGATAAACTGAGGCTCAGAGATGCTAATTAATTTGCCCAGTGGATGATATGATTATAAATGTGTATCTCTTTACTCTCCTCAAAGCCAGCCATCTTTTACCATCCTATGGGGCCTCCAGACATGACTTCTCTGGGTTTAGTCTGGCTCCTGGCAGTTTCCATGGATAAGGCAAAGAGGGCCATGAAGATTTCTGGACCCTGGGGCACTGGCTGGGATGAAGAGCCTGGTGACCTCAGGGGGAGTCTATGGCACCCCCACTATTTCTGGGAGGGAGTGGCTGAGTCAGAACCTGAGATTCTCTGCAGGCTCTTCTCACCTCCACACTCACACAAGATGGCCAGCTGGGGGCATACTGGGGTCACCAGAGTGTGGCAGTATTCTCCTGGCAAAATTTTTTTGGAGTACTTGACAATATCCTGCTTCATTTTCAATCTCACTGCCCCAATTTTTCTTTTATTAATTTTGGCCATCATATATAACCCAAATCTATTTTATTCCTGTACAATGGTACCTCATTAAATGAATACCACGCTTATCTAACTACTTCATATCAGAGAAAGCATCTGAATGCTTAAAAGAAAGTGCCCAGGCAATTCCAGCTCTGAGAGCAATACTCCTGTGGAAGGAAGGGCTTGCATTCACACCACTGCCTTTATCTGATGGGATGCAGTGGAGGCTGCCGAACAAACTGATGGGGTAGGGAAGAGCAATCTATACATCTCTGTCAAACTGTGATGAGTAAAGAGAACAGAAGAAGAAAAGCTGACCGAAAACTGGGCCTATAAAACATGTAAATACTGCTATTAAATACTCCTAGTCCCCCAAACACTGGATAACTAAAAAACATAGAACAGCTCTCTGGGTGGAACTCTGCCCAGAGATATGTATGATATTCCAGCAATGACAGGTGGGATATAGTCACGTGAAGGAAGGAATTTCCTTATATAAAATCATCAGATTCTGCATCATCACGATAAGCACCAGGTTCGCTTGATATCCAAAATTCACTCAAAATCTAACTCACTTTGCATACATAAAAATTTTTCACTTAATTATAACGGTATTCAAGAAGCCAATCTTGAAGACATCAAAACTCGAAGAGCAAAGCACTGGGGAGGAGTCTGTGGACTGGTTTGGTCTCACCCACCTTGCCCTTCTTGATGCAGGTGTTGATGGTGTCGAGAAGGTCTGCCCGGTTCTTATCGCTTTTGGGGAGCTCAGCGAGTTCTTTCCCCAGGAGCTCGCCCTTGGGGTAGCCCATCATCCTTTCGAGGGCTGGGTTGACATACTGCGAATGGAAAGTGGTTTCAGGTCAGGGAGGTCCGACAAGTGCCCTGCAGGAACGCTGAGAAAATGTGCTGAAATCTCAAGTCCCCTGGGCGAGTGCTCACGCTGACCAGTGCCCCGATCCAAGCGCCAGGGGGTTAGCTGCCTCCCTCCTCATCAGCCACACGCTCATACAACTGCCATCCCAGCTCCCTGGGGCCTCTGGGAGATGGGAAGAAATTCACCAGCAGAAAAAGAGCGAGAAGCCTTTACCTAGCAGTTCCAGCCTCTGGTGGGCATATTCATCACTGCCCACAAAATAAGAAAAAAACAGAAAAAAAGAACAAATAAAAATTAACTAGAACTCCACCCAACAGATTGTGGGTTCTTTTTGTCAAATCTCTTCATGGCAGCAATTTGACCTTTCATATCTAGATATTAATAGATGAATAGATAATGGCCACTGTCTATTAACCAGTGCAAGGCTTGGGGACACTTCCAGTCTAACTGAACAATCGATTCAGTTAAAAGGCTTGGGCAGGAGGCAGCCCTTTCAGTGCTGGGCACAGCCCATGAGTGAGGAGGGGCCCTCTCCACCCCTAACCCAGCACATTCTGAGGCCAGCAGACTCAGAGATTTCTTTCCAAAATTCTGCCCAGAACCCTGGAATTTACAGCCATCACCTTGGCTGGCTCTTGGCTCCTGTCCCCACCCTCCAATTTCTTCTGAGTGGAGGGGACAAGTGATGAAGAATGTGGGGGAAATGTGAGTGCACTGCACCTAGGTCATGGATTTCTTTGGGCACGACTGACATCCATCCATCTGCTGCTTCAGAAAACAGTCTTGTAAACTGATCACTCTTGCCCTCCACAGTGATGATAGCAGTGAGGAAGGAACCGGGAAATTCAGGGACACTGGGGACCTCCTGTCTCAGAAACACAGCTTCTATTAACACAACTGACCCCGGGAGTATGAGGGGCTGGGAGGCTGCTCTAGGGCCCTTGGCACCAGGCGTTATGGGGG